TGAGAGAGACATAAAGCCCTAGACATATACACAGCAACAAAGAGATCACAATAATGAGAGACAAAAATGGAATATCTCGCCTGAAAAGCAGCAAATCTTCACAGTGTCAGAGCATCACAAAAGGAGCTCATCAAGACCCACAACATCGCTGACGCCTCTCTAAGGTCTCACATAATGCAGTCAGGAGGCTCGGAGGCCAGGTGGAGAGCTCAGCAAGGTCAGGAGCGAACGTCAGGAGAGGTCATGAAGGAAGGTCAGGATGGTTGACTCGGAAGATAATTAGGTAAAGAACAAGGACGGGCAGAAGATAAACATGCAAGAACATCATCAAGTCACGAAGTCAGGTCAACAAAAGGTCAGGAAATTAATCGCAGGGTCAGAAAGTCAAGAAAGGTCAGGAAATCGAGAGAGAGGTTACGCAGGCAAGAAGAGATCAGGAAGTCAAGAGGCTTAGGGAGGCAGAATAATTATCAAATGAAGTAATTTGGAAGACGACAGCCATGAAGCATTCTGGAAGGGAAGAATGACATTCTGAAAGTCTTAGAAAATAAGGAAGCCGGGAATTGTGAAAGTCAGTTAAGGAGGCGAGCAAGCTAGGTCTTGTACTTGTAGTTAACTTTCTAACTCTTGATAAAACAAGTTATCTAATTATCGAAAAAGGTTACGGTAGTTATGACAGAGGTTGTTGATGGCACGTGATTTGAGGTGAAGAGTAGTGACCTATGGGGTCAAGTCAAGGGCTCATGTTTGAACCCTGGAGACCCAGGCTGGGGCACGGATCAGGTCAAAGATTCAGGTCTGACCCCCCGGTAACCCAGATCAGGGCTCGGGTCAGGTCAAGAGCTCAGGTCTGAGCCCCGGAGACCCAGGGCTGGGGCACGGGTCTGGTCAATTATTCAGGTATGACCCTCAGTAACCCAGGCCGGGGCTCGGGTCAGGTCAAGACGGCGGGACATGAAAGAGAGTGTATCTTGGAGCCGCTGCAGCTCAGCCTCCAGCTGCGCCGCCCGCTTCCCCTGCAGGCCGCCCACACCCGCCTCCACCACCGCCAGCTGCAACAACATAAATACCCAAGTCAGAGCATTACAAAAAAAGGAGAAACTATTTATATAAGTAAATTCCTTAATGAATAAATAAAGACATTCGTTAGAACACAAATAAATAAGCTTATAAATAACACACACACACACACACACAACACACACACACTTCCGTGGTAAGAATACTTTGAAGGGTTTCCAGTGTAGATTATTCTGGGACAAGTGCAAGCATGCTGGGACACGTGCGAGCATTCTGGGACACGTGCAAGCATGTTGGGACACGTGCGAGCATTCTGGGACACGTGCAAGCATACTGGGACACGTGCAAATATGCCGGGACACGTGGATACATGCAGGTACGTGTTTTCATAGCCGAGGAACCCACTGAACCTTGTACTGTTCATGTGAGGCGCTGAACCCGTGTGGGTTATTCAGCACAAGAACTAGTGGAGGCTCGGTCCTCCGTTCTCTTGAGTGCCACCACTGGAGCGGCACCACCAGTGCCTTCACTGTAGCGGTACCACGGGTGCCATCACTGTAGCGGCACCACCAGTGCCACCACTGTAGCGGCACCGCAAATGCCACCACTGTAGCGGCACCACAAGTGCCATCAATGTAGTGGCACCACCAGTGCCACCATTGTAGCGGCACCGCAAGTGCCACCACTCCAGAGAAAGAACAACAGTGAACACCAAAGACAGCAACAGTGAGCACCAGTAATAGTGAACACTAATAAGCAATATTGTACACCAGAGAATACAGAAAACTGAAGCACAACAGAAAATGGGAACCAGAGAACTAAATAATAGAAAACGAAAAAATAAACTAAAATTGGACAAAAACATACTAAAAAAAATTAATCTTCGATACTATTATGTGAAAAAGTAATGATACCCAAAGAGAAGACTAAAAATATATGCAATAACTGAATTACAAAATCCAAACTAAAAAGAATCTTAAAATATAAAACTGATTTATATAAGAAAATAAGAAGACTATTAAACTTAGTTAACAGAAAATTTGAATAAACATAAAAAGATTTAAATAATTTTACCACAAACGCAATGTTAAAGAAAACAAAGAAAATATAAGAGGCTGCAATAGAATTCAAAGGTGATATCAAATTTTGTTTATCGCTGGTATGTATCTCGAGGCTTGAAGACGCATCACTCACTCAGTGGACACTCATCCACTTGAGATTCATTCAGCGGGTCTACTCACTCATCAGAATCTCAGAAGAGAGAAACTCATCCAGTTGAGATATATTTGCCAGAATCTCACTCATTCTAGGGAGAGATTCACCCAGTGGAGAATCATTCATTATGATCTTACTCATTCTAGGGAGGGACTCACCCAGTGGAGTCTCATTCACCTGAATCTCACTCATTCTAGGGATAGACTCATGCATTAAAGTCTAATTGAACACGTCTCTACCGTCACTCACTCGCGTCTCGAAGCGAGTTACTATGTCCTGCACAGTCTTTCTGAAGGAGGGAGGCAGCTCTGTCGTCTCTCCTTCCCCAGAGCCTGCAGGAAAGTCCTCTGTATGATGTGCACTCTCTTGTACAAATGTTAACATAATTTTAATACTAATGGGAGGTGATAAACCCATAGAGATCAGACAGCACTCTCAATTTTTTACTAACGTGTCATGAATCTCATTTAATCTAATTTTGTTTACAATGCATATGGAATTTTCAGGTAATAACTGAGATCATGCATAGCAAAACTGCATTATTCTTTTGTGAACCACTAAATCTGTTCACTAAGAGAATGATAATTAAATCTATAAGACTTGACAAGAGAAATGAGCACTACACAGGCTGAGCGAGGCCCGTCGTAGAGGTTCAGCTGACCTGAGCAGCTATAAAGGTTAGTAGTGAAAGAAAGACACACTTGGATCCAGCTGTAAAGGTCAAGTCGAGGAGTTTGGCAAACAGGAGGGTCTGGAAAGCTGGAAATTCTTTTCTTTGTCTGTATGATGATGGCGTCCGTGGTGAAGACTAAAGTTGATACTATAGGCTTTGGTATGATTATGCCCTTCCAATGGCTGCAGGAAAACAGAGTCGTAAGTTTTCAGTTAATTCTTATAAAATAAGTCTTTAATTTTTTTTACAGCTGTTTCCATGCTCAGATAAGCCGGCCTTCTTCTACGGTCATTACTCCATCTATATTTTTTCCTGGTTCTCCATATTCTCTATAGACTTCAAAAAGCTTGGTCACCAAGCATGGTTCTTGTAATAAAGTGTCTACTGTGAGTTTCTTGTAAATAATAGAAGGTAACTTATATAAGTAATATTTGAGAAAGTAATTTGCTTCTGTAAACAGAGAAACAAGTATCATATAGTTAATGGTGTACAGTACAAGCTAGATGATGAATAAAACAGACGGTGTACACATGTGCATCACTTCTGTATTGGACTCAGAAAAACCTGCTACAGAGGCGCGACGCTTCGGCAGTAAAGATACACAAGTGCAGTACGTGTGTTTCGTCAGAGACACAAGTATGCGGAACAGACTTCATTTGGACAGATTTTCGCTGTGTAGATCTGAAGTGGGAAAGCTCTACTTAGAGTGAAATACTGTCTAAATAGTAGCTTGGTCTGTATAACTGTGTCTTGGTCTGTGTATCAGTTGGCATTATGCCCTCCAACCAAATTATTCTTCATTAAAACATGTACTAATTCAAGATAACCAAACATGTGTCACATGCTACAGTCTCACCGTCTTGGTAGGCTGGACAAATTTCTAGAAGGAGGGGTTGTACGGGCGTAGATTTAAGGGTGATGGGCGTGAGCGGGACCAGAGCACCATGGGCGTCGCGGACCCTGACGATGCTGTGACCATAGATGGTATGGCCCATACCTAGGGTCTTGAGGAGGGCCACTTGAACCTCCCTGGCCGTCCAGTGTGGCCACATTGGCACTGACACCAACTGTTTGACACCAGCATCCTCACCACTCTCTCCCTCGGCTGGAGAATCACAAATTAATTTTATTTAGGTTTTGCATATATAACATATTTTTACAGTGGTATTGAGGGCATAGATGTTATGAGCATAGAAAATATAATATTATGTACATTTAACCTAGGATGACCCAGTAAAGTCAAATTATGTGACTTATTTCCGTTAGTAAGTTTATTTAGGCACAGGTACACTTAAGTACAATTAAATACAATAAAAGTACAATTATCATAACTCAAGAAATCGTAATGACACGACTGCAAACAAACCACGGTACGGGCGGGGATTGAACCCGCGGGGAGTAAGTTGTAAAACTCCAGACCGACGCGTTAGCTATTGCGTCGGTTGGGAGTTTTACGACTCACTCACCGCGGGTTCAATCCCCACCCGTACTGTGGTTTGTCTACAATTATCATATATTGTGTAAATTACGTAGGAAACCCAAAGATAACTCAAGTAAGCCCATAAACCTACATTGGTTTACAATATAAAATAATTAAAAAATGCATCGTATCTTTCGTCCTGACGCTTTACTGTAGCATCACCATCTGAAATTGCAACTGCAATTAAAGGTACCATTTTTTTAGTATTATCTAGTGGACTAAGCTTGCAATCTTATGAGAGTTTCCGATAAAACAGCATCATAGAAAACGCTAGAGCTTAGCCTGCATAAAAAACTAAATCAATATCACCTGTTACTTCATCTTCCCGGAAGATAACTACAGTGCTGGAATAATTCACGTGATAACGAGGCCGTTCTTTGTTAGTCTGTAGAGCAGAGAGCAAGAATAGACTTACATGTGGCGTGTTGTTGTTTGTTGACGAGGAGCCAGAGGATGAGCGGGGCGGTGTCGTCCATGGTGGTGGGAGGACTTGTGTAGTGTGAGGGCGGATCCCCACCAGGATGGCACACCCTTACGTCAGTATATACGTCATACCCACAACCCTCTCCATCAGCCACACTGTAACTGTTTAAAGTGTATGTTTGATGTGAGGCTACATAAATACATGATCTATGTATATATGAGCTATATTATGTAAATGTTGGAGTAGTAACATGGAAAAAAGTCACTTTGGCTTTTTAGGGTTATCCTAGGTTCTCTACACATATGCTGCTATTTTTGATAATCTATATAACTGTATTTGTGTATATATGAATAAAGTTACTTACTCTCCTTCAGTATTTACGTCTCCTTGTAAAATTCTTATCACGTACCGGATATACACTCGAGGGATGTCTCTCAGGGTATAATAAGATAAGATAAGATTTCGTTCGGATTTTTAACCCCGGAGGGTTAGCCACCCAGGATAACCCAAGAAAGTCAGTGCGTCATCGAGGACTGTCTAACTTATTTCCATTGGGGTCCTCAATCTTGTCCCCCAGGATGCGACCCACACCAGTCGACTAACACCCAGGTACCTATTTGCTGCTAGGTGAACAGGACAACAGGTGTAAGGAAACGTGTCGAAATGTTTCCACCCCCGGGAATCGAACCCGGGCCCTCCGTGTGTGAAGCGGGAGCTTTAGCCACCAGGCCACTGAGAGTATAATCTGATCCGTTTTAAGGATTAAAGTATTCATGTCTGGAGGTGAAAAGGATTCCAGTGGAAAAAAAGTAACTGACATTTTTGGGTTATTCTAGGTAATTTACACCATGTATGATAATTGTACTAATGTCTACCTGAGCCTAAATAAACTTACATGCGGCCTAACTGACCCTTCGTGAAATCGATAGGCTTGAAACTCAGTTAACCAACATATCACACAGAGGTGAGGTGTATGTCTCTCGCTGAGATAAATTACAGATCGGCTAAAAAAATGGCTACTGGAACTGAGCGCCAGCAAATTCAGTGGAAAGTAGGGATGGAGAAAGAATGCTAGAAACTGAGTAGACAATCAAGGGCTGCAAACCTCACTCGAAGCGAGGAACCGAAGGGTGAGCATAGTACCGAGCATATCACCACTATGGGCACTGTAGCAGCCAGGCACGTTAACCCCAAGGGTACGTGCAGGGTAGCAGCCAGGCACGTCAACACTACGTCACTGAGGACTCAAAGCAAGACAAGACGCAAATGGGTATGAAAAATTACTCTCAAATTTAAGCGAATATTGCTGTAACAATTTTTTTTTTAAATTATGTTACACTTCCACATTTTTTTTTAATAAATAATGTTTAGAAGAGGCATTGTCGCTTACAGAGTATGTACGCCGAGAGGTGTATAGCTCAGTGGTATAAACCTTGGTAATAAATACCGACAAGTCGGTATTTATAGCTCAGTGTATATACCCTGAGTTATATATTTCAGTGAATATACACCGAGAGCTGTGTATCCCTCAGTTTATATACACTGACAGATGTACACACACACACACACACACAGTATATCTGTCTCATTTGTACAGTAAGGAAAAAAAAATAAAATACACACACACACACACCTACCTACCTACCTACCTACCTAACACATGCACGCATATACAACAGGCCTAGTGTCTAATCGACATGTGCCTACGACAAAATAGTAACTAACATCTCTCAGCGTATATTCTCTAAGAGAATTATGTCCTTCACTATTATTAGCAAACAAGTGAATTAATGACCCATGTATAGCAGATAAGTGTTGCCTTAACAAACTAATATTGGGGAGGATGTAACTCAAACGAGTTCTTTTTTTTTTAATATTTATTATCCAAAATATACTGAACTTTAATAACGTGTTAAGCAAAAAAGTTAAAGATTGTATTTTATCATAACTTTGATATATACTGTTTACGAAACGTTCGTATAAAAATACTTCTCTGAAATATAATTATGTAATCAACGAACATTTACCAGCAGCCAGAGGTGGGGGGGGGGGGTTAAAAAGACGCAGGTACACAGTTCATGACTTTAATCTTTCCTTAGAGCTTTAGCAGGTTATGACTTAAAAACTCTTTCCTTAGAGCTTTAGCAGGTTATGATTTAAAAACTCTTTCCTTAGAGCTTTAGCAGGTCATGACTTAATAACTCTTTCCTTAGAGCTTTAGCAGGTCATGACTTAATAACTCTTTCCTTAGAGCTTTAGCAGGTCATAACTTAATAAAAGTTTGTCTAGACCGAAACTTTATCCAAATAAAAGCATTTAGATGCATAATTGTGTCTGTGGTTACACAGCTGCCAGTACTACCTCCTCAACCTGCTCCATAACTGGCTGCTAGCAGGCAGTAATAGAGTAATGTCAGGCTGAAGGAAGGTGCACTACGTTATCTTAGTTAAACTGGTGATACATATTTAGATATTGATTAAAGTTGGACTAGATATACCTCAGAGTCTGCTCTGAATATAATATCATTATATATAATCGTTTCAGAACGGGATTTTTTTCAGTAAATACATGTTAAAAATTGGTTGAACTCACACACTAACATTCCAAGTTTCTGAGATATAGTGCATATATATATATATATATATATATATATATAATATTATAATATATATATATATATATATATATATATATATATATATATATAATATATATATATATATATCGGCCAGTGTGATAAATAAAAAAATATATATATGACGTAAATATTGCACGTATATAAATATAAACATATTCACTGAAATGCTCGAAATCCGCAGGGGAAGGTAGCTCCAATTCCCTGGACCAGAAGATCTCCATCATCACCAAGGCACTACTCTCCAAGAGGCACTGCTCCGGATCTCCTCTTCTGTTGACTTTCGAGAGAGTCCTGGGCATGAGGTGCCTTTATAGTTGTACTGGATATTCTACACAGGTGACAGTTTCCCTAAAGAACTCTTTTGTTTCCAGTATCCCCCCAACTTTCCGAGACTTCCTCTGATGTTTCACTGACTACTGACATACACAATTACTTTTACATTTGATGTGTCAGGACTGTTCATAATACCATACGTTAGCAATCTGAAAGTTTCAAGTCCTACTTGAAAGAGGCTGTAACGAAGACCATCATTATTTTGTTTAGGACCTCATCTTTATGTGATGTTATAGATAATGTGGGCTAAATTGGGATGTCCTGACTATGGGTCAGGTAGGTGATCTTGGTTGCCAATATGACGTTTTTCAGAGCATAGTTCTAGCTGCCCAGACAACTTTTGTTCCGAGTAGGGAAATTAGATCTAACAAAAATGATCCCAAATGGATGAACAATAGATTAAAACATCTCATTGGTCAAAAGAGAGGCATATATAGGCGTATCAAAAGAGGGGATGGGCAGTTAAGAAATCAATATATTCAATTAAAGAGAGAAATAAAGAAAGGAATAAGAAAAGCAAAAAGGGATTATGAGGCTAAGGTCGCAAGGGACTCAAAGACTAACCCAAAAGGGTTCTTTCAGGTATACAGAAGTAAGATTAGGGACAAGATTGGCCCACTTAAGAGTAACTCTGGTCAGATCACTGACAATGATAAGGTTATGTGTGAAATTCTAAATACCTACTTCCTCTCAGTTTTCACCCAGGAAAATACTAGCGATATTCCTGAAATAATAGATTACGTAGAACAGGATGATGATAAACTATGTACGATTGCGGTAACTAGTGACAAATAGAGAAACTACAACCTAACAAATCCCCAGGTCCTGATGAACTGTTTGCAAGGGTGTTAAAGGAATGTAAAGAGGAACTAAGCATACCTTTGGCTAATCTTTTTAACATATCACTACAAAGTGGCACAGTGCCTGAAAGTAGAAAATGACAAATGTAATACCTATTTACAAGGCAGGTGACAGGTCCTTGGCTTCGAACTATAGACCAATAAGCCTCATCTCCATAGTGGGAAAATTTATGGAATCAATAATTGCCGAAGCAATTCGTAGCCATCTTGACAGGCACAGATTGATTAATGATTCTCAACACGGTTTTACAAAGGGGCGTTCCTGTCTTACGAATTTACTAATTTTTTTCACTAAGGTGTTTGAGGAGGTAGATCATGGTAATGAATATGATATTGTGTATATGGACTTCAGTAAGGCTTTCGATAGAGTTCCACACCAGAGGCTATTGAGGAAACTTAGGGCACACGGAATAGGAGGAGAAATTTTTTCCTGGGTAGAGGCATGGCTGACAAATAGACAGCAGAGAGTTTGCATTAATGGGGAGAAATCCGAATGGGGGCACGTCACAAGCGGTGTTCCTCAGGGGTCAGTGTTGGGCCCGTTGTTGTTCACAATTTACATAAACGACATAGATGAGGGAATAAATAGCGACATAAGCAAATTTGCTGATGACACCAAAATAGGCCGTCCAATTCATTCTAATGAGGACATTAGAGCACTCCAGGATGATTTGAATAGACTGACGCAATGGTCGGAGAAGTGGCAGATGCAGTTTAATATTGACAAATGCAAAGTTCTAAATGTTGGACAGTTAAATAACCATGCCACATATAAACTAAATAATGTAGATCTTAATACTACCGATTGCGAAAAGGATTTAGGAGTTCTGGTTAGCAGTAACCTAAAACCAAGACAACAGCGCATTAGTGTTCGCAATAAAGCTAACAGAATTCTTGGCTTCATATCTAGAAGTAAAAATAATAGAAGTCCTCAGGTTGTTCTTCAACTCTACATATCCTTGGTTAGGCCTCATTTAGACTATGCTGCTCAGTTCTGGTCACCGTATTACAGAATGGATATAAATGCTCTGGAAAACGTACAAAGGAGGATGACAAAGATGATCCCATGTATCAGAAATCTTCCCTATGAGGATAGACTGAGGGCCCTGAATCTGCACTCTCTCGAAAGGCGTAGAATTAGGGGGGATATGATCGAGGTGTATAAATGGAAAACAGGAATAAATAAAGGGATGTAAATAGTGTGCTGAAAATTTCCAGCCAAGACAGGACTCGCAGCAATGGTTTCAAGTTGGAAAAATTCAGATTCAGGAAGGATATAGGAAAGCATTGGTTTAGTAATAGAGTTGTGGATGAGTGGAACAAGCTCCCGAGTACAGTTATTGAGGCTAAAACGTTGTGTAGTTTTAAAAATAGGTTAGATAAATACATGAGTGGGTGTGGGTGGGTGTGAGTTGGACCTGACTAGCTTGTGCTGCTGGGTCTGGTGCAGTGCTCCATCCTTGAGTGGGGATGACCAGACTGGATGGGTCATTGGGATAATCCGGGGGGTGGATCATTGGTCTAATCCGGGGGGGGGGACATGGACCTGCTCCGCATGGGTCAGTAGGCCTGTTGCAGTGTTCCTTCTTTCTTATGTTCTTATAATCTCACGACACAGGAGTCCTTCATGCCCACACAACACTAGTTCTATATAGTGATCTTTACACTACTAGAGCCGGCGTTGGGGCTTCTCTCTTGTGTGTTCCTTGGAGATGTTGGCTTCACGGAGTTGGTCCTCGTCCAGCTGGTCTCTGAGGATGACGGCGTGGCGCATGAGAGGGGTAAACAGCAAGTGGATGGGATTCATGTAGCTTAGTACTTGCAGCGCCAACACCATAGCGTGCGCCTGCAACCAACACAGGGAGAAACGAATCATTATTATATTTATAATGAAGAGCTAAATTCATATGGGATATTCAGCGGAAGGAGTAGTGGAGGCTGATCTTCCGTCCCCTAAGCGCAAGACAGTTACTCACGTAGCCTGGCTCACGCTTATCAGACAATGAAAATAAAGAAAGTGGACGGAAAAAATCAGATCAAAATTAACAAGGGATTGTTTTCAAATAAGAAAAGAGAGATCGTCGACAATCTGGGGGGAGGGAAGCTTAAAATTTATTATTTTCTTTCGAGAAAAAAGTTCCGTGAAAATTTTATATCAGAAAAACTTATGAGTTACAAAGGACGTAGATTTTAAAAACAGAAACTTGTCAATAAAAATATAGATTATTTAGACTATGTATAGCATTTTTATGATCACACTAACCAAATTATATTGTATTCATTAGGCGCTAAAACCATGCGGATTAATCAGTATATGCTAAAACATGCAGAAAACAGTCTCCATATTATGTATGGCTATATTAAGGTTAACTTGTTTTATTTTAACCGAGTCTAACTTAAAAGAAATTAAATCAACGTCACATTTAAACCACAAATTTTAGGGAAAGAATCAGAAGACGTTTCGGATCATCCTGGACTTTTAACAGGTTCAGGACGGACTGAAACGTAGTCTAGTTTCCGGTTCTAAGTTGACTAGAAGTCACTATCGTGACTATCTAGTCACTATCGTCCACTAGAAGTCACTATCGTAACTTCTAACCCTCGAGGACAAAATCTAACAGAACTAACTCTCCCACAATCAATGAGATCAGTATACAACCCAGCACATGTTTTGTGCTCAAATAAGCTGTAGGTATTGGAGGAACATCAGTAACCAGGCGCATACTCACAGCATAGTACATGTTTTGTGCCCACACAAACTGCGGGTACTGGAGAAACATCAGTACAGAGGATATCGTTCCGTAGATCCCCAGCAGCCTGTTAAAGTGATCAGCAGGGAACCTGTCGAGAAGATGGTTGGCTGGTTGAAAACACAGTGCAAATTATTTATAAGTTCTGTAGTATTTTTGCATGATGTTGACCAAAATTTTCAATCCATCTATCAACACTCCTCCCTCCCATGCCAGACTAACTCGCAGCAACACAGTCACCACAGCATCACGGCTGACAATTCACAATTAATCCATAAATTAGCGATGGAGCTACACAACGCTTCAGTTTTTTCTGAACTCTTTTCAAGTTACTCGAGATTTGATAGTGACGGATCGAAACGTCGTTTATTTTTATCTCTAATTTGTTTTTTAGTTATGTACACAAGGGTTGAGGCCAACGAGTGCTTCACATATACTTAAATATATACTTTAAATAATTTTCATTGCTCTGTATTGTTCTAAACACTTTCAGAGACAGAACACCTTACCATTGACCAATAGAGAGAGAGAGAGAGAGAGAGAGAGAGAGAGAGAGAGAGGAGGCCGTACCTGATCCTGATATAGGCTGTGGAGATAGCTATGGTGCAAGGCCTGGCCAACACCATGGCCACCAGGGAGATGTAGATAGCCGCCGGGTGGAAGATGAAGATGCACATGTACATAGCAGTGGTAGCCAGAGAGGTGACCAGCAAAGGCAGGAACGGCGCCTGAACCTCCATCACCCGCCGTCTCAACTCGCTGGAAGCTGAAGAGGGCGAAGGTCTTGACGGACAGAGTGAGGGGTACACGTAATGACGTTGAGGAGGACAATAATAATAATGTGCTGAGTACAAGTTTATGGGTATATATACTTACTCGTTGGTTAGAATGTATTTACATTTGTATCATAATGAATATGCTGTTATTTAAAATTTATGTGACTGAATTTATTAATTGCGTAACCAACTCTTCACTGCTGTAACTCGTAACTCGTTCAGTCAACACAATATCAGGGTTCAGCCATTCAACCCACTGTAATATGTGCTTTTATCATCCCTTGGCCACAAAGGGAATGTGGTACATAATAAAAATATCAGCCAGTCTAATCATCCCATATCGGGCGGTAGCGTTGATGTTTACACAACGGTATATATACACCATTTATATTACAGCGTAGAAGTTCAAGCCTGGAGAAAATTATCGTTATCAGTATATTATTTTTCCATCCATTTTGTGACCTAATCCATAACTCTAGTAAAGGAATCATGCCGACTGAAAGTTTCTCAGCTAACAGAATTTTTCGGCCCATTCCTTAGACCCCTTATGAGCTTCTGTAATCCTTTGAATACAACAGACAGGATGGTTATTAAACATATAAAAAAGCTTTATCATCTTGTTTTCGGCTTTATGCCATTGACAGCCTAAAGGTATCGAGCCATAAACTATATCCGCTTTAGATGGTGGGCGAAGAACCCAGAATTGACTTTCGCTGAAATAGCGAGGATATTTCTCCATTTGTCAAAATATCATCACAGAAAGGACCATTTAGGCTTTACCGCGAATAATAAATATATACCCTTGCCGCACGTGAGCTAGAGAATTGTTATACATAATATTATGAGACTTAGTGTAATCCTACACGTAGGATCATGTAGTCTAGTAGAAGGCATCCTACCCAGAGGTAACCTGAAAAACAACAGGATGACTCAATTACTGTACACTGTATAGCTTATGGCATGACACCCTGTCTCGAGCCACACCGCACATTGATGTGGCGACAGAACAAAAACCGTATTATATATAAACATTGTCTCTAAGTCATCCAGCAGAACGAACCTGCTAACTCGTATCAAGTAACAGTACTTTGACCACTGACTCAGACCAATTTATAATAATGGTCGCTTATGTCCTGAATGCTACGAGTCTTACCCCATACCCAGGGCACCAAACCGTTTTGATTCGATATACAAAAACGAGTTGGTGACCGATGCTTGCGTAACATCGTTTAGCTTCGAGCTAACGAACCATACTTAAGATTGGCTCTAGTCCCAGCAGGTAAGTACTGTGGACTCTGATACAGAGTTACAGTTCTGTCCAGCGTGACGTAGACAATTTGTAAATAATGTTCGCTTACGCGAATTGTTAACTGAATTTAATACTTACATTTTTTTCCATAATATTCAAAGACGTAGGAAGAGGTAGGGTAAATCGATTACTCGTAGCCCAACATTAGTTGGTTGCTGGGTAGTATGTGTTGATAAGAGTTGCAGGGAGGTTGGAAGAGACCAGTAATGTGTGTAGGAAAAATTTGACCCGCCATAGTAGATCCTCTCAACGCTGTGAGAATCTGATCTACTTCTGCCAATGTTATCGCCAAGACAGTATGAATGTTAATATCATACGGCAAACTGTGACCCAACATGGGTTACCTATTACCTATTTATGTCCACGAGGTAGGACAGTAATAATGGCCGGAATGAGACCCCTCATACTCCTCTTTTTCTGCTCCATCGCACTATTTGTACTAAATACTTTGCAGACACGTATACGTAACTATCATTAAACCTAATTTATATTAACCTATATTTACAGTAATCTAACTTATAATAAGCCTACTCCTATCTTATATTAACCAGCCTAACTATGTAACTAGCCTAACTCACAGTAACCTAGCCTAACCTACATTAACTAGCAACCAATTAGTAACCTAGCCTAAACTACAGTAACTAACTAACCTACATAACCTACCTAACTACATAACCATAGCCTAACCTACAGTAACCTAGCCTAACCTACAGTAACCTAGCCTAACCTACAGTAACCTAGCCTAACCTACAGTAACCTAGCCTAACCTACAGTAACCTAGCCTAACTACAGTAACCTAGCCTAACCTACAGTAACCTAGCCTAACCACATAACCTAGCCTAACCTACAGTAACCTAGCCTAACCTACAGTAACCTAGCCTAACCTACAGTAACCTAGCCTAACCTACAGTAACCTAGCCTATCCTAACCTAGCTTAAAGAAAATATGATTAAAAAATAACGAAAAGTTATTGTCATTAAAGTTCTTGTTCTTCAGTTTTCTCCAGAAAGATGCGACTCACAACAGCTGGAATGTATTACCGCTGAGTGAACAGGAACATCAAGTGCAAGGAGAGTGGTCCATACCTTTCTAGTTGTCCGAGGATTGAACCCGAGCCTATTCGTTGTGATCTGAAGGCTCAACCACTGAGAGTAATTTAAAATAACTAATGGTACAGTAAATGGCAGAATTTAAATACTCAAATGTCGCTCTAGTCTATGAACAGAGTGAACATGCATGTATAAATTACTGATGAATATGATGGCGCATACATGCGTCATGGGTGAATATGAAGATTACATGTGTCATGAGTGAATATGACGGAGATTGCGTGCATGGGTGAATATGAGGAGATTACATGAGTCATGCGTGAATATAACGGAGATTACACGAGTCATGAGTGAACATCTGGCACATATATGCGTCAGGGGTAAATAATACGGTACATATAAGCATCAGGGGTGAACGCAGAGGATATACGTACAGTTATCTTGGACAGGTATGTGGTGGACGGGCATGAGGGAAGGTGAGGAAGATGCTGAGTGTGCTGAGGGCAGCCAGGAACCAACATACGTGTGACCTCTGCAGACCTGCAGACGCAGTGTACTGCAACAACGCAAACATCTATCTCAGAATATTTTTTTTTAAATAAGTACAACTGCATATGTTTATGTAGTGTTTTGAGTGTCGCCAACGTAATGTTTATGTTATATATAAAATTTTCCAAACATCTTCATTTATTATCGAAGATGTTTATTATCTAAACATCTTCGATTTATTATCTAAACATCTTCATTTATTACCTAAACATATTTAATTATAATCCAAAAGTTTTGGAATCTCAAACTTCGAAACTCAGAAACGTTTGGATAATAAATAAGTTACACACTTGATAATAAATGATGTTTATTAGTCTGAGACTTCCAAAAGCAGCTGTCTGAGTTAAGTGACATTTAACAAGGTCAAAGGACCCATATTTACTAACATACTCATTACTTAAGATATGATACGGCTCGAAGCATTTACAAAAAGAAATATTCAATGTACGGTATATTTAGTTTATAATTTACTAAAGGTAATATTACCTAAATATTGTAAAAGAAGAGGATGTAGTTGATATTGCCAATGATATGTCTTTTATATGGGCTGAAACATGGTTCTCATGACTCTGTTACGCCTCTCGAGGGGGAAAATACACATCTTATTGACACTAGTTGAAAGATTACAGAGAAAGATGAAGGTTTCAGAAGTTAGGTTCCCAACGTTCTTCTGGAAGTTACACCAGTAATGAGCTATTTACAGTAAACGAAGCTGGGATAGTTATAAGTATGGTTCTGTCCACCGCCTTCATGGCTGCTTGTAGCTGTGACTCCAGTAGGTTCAGGTGAGCTGCTCGTTCACTTCATCCAAGTCCGTGTTTCTAGTAAGCATTATAACTGTTTCTAATTAAATTCCTTGACGTTCTATCTCTGTTGTGTTGGAGCTGGTGTAGTTCATCCATGTTGTTTGATGGTAAAGTGATCGCTCATAAGCGTTGTTTCCAGTTTCCATCTGATCCTCGACCTGAGTGTACCGGTTGTACTATATGTGAGTCGTCTATGACTAGGAAAGATCGGGCTATATATTTGTGGGTATGTTGGGGAAGGGGCTTCCCCGGTAGTGAGGAAAATGGTTTCCAACACCTCTTAATGGAGACCAGAACTTTGTCAGTTAAACCAGAGATAAGTATCAGTTATTTATAGTTCTTGATATGAAGCCAGACAATTTATGAGTTTTATAAGGGATAAGTGTGCAATAATACCTTGGCTACAGAATTATGCTAACCAGAACTCCTGAGTCCTTTTTTTGCTCTTTGGTAAAGTTCAAAATTATTTAGTTATAAGTGCAGTGGATATTTTTTTTCTCGTCTCGGGATTAATAACTTACGAATGTGGTCGTCAAACTGCACCTGTCACTTTTCCGATAACAACATTAACCTCTGATACGTAATGACATTTAGATTTTTAGCCTCCCTGTTCCTTCCCATTACTAACACCCTTTCCAATACACCACAACACCCTCCATCTAACCCACACTACAGCCTCACGCCCAGGCTCACACCCACCTGGAAGATGATAAAGAGGGCGGCGGAGGCTGCATATATGCCTGAGAGGAGACTGATGGCGGTGGATCGGTGGAGGGGAAAGAGATCTCCGAACTGCATAACACTGAGTCTCAGCTGGTTACCTCCCAGTGCTAGGAAAATCATGGAGGCGAATACCCAGTTCGGAGACTCTGAGATGGAGGAAACGATGTAAGTGAGAGAGAGAGAGAGAGATAACGTTGTTAGGAATAATTAGCTTTAAACTATCAATTAACAGATGAAACTCAACTGATAAAGAATGAAAGAATAGATAACACGAATAAGAATTACACACCTTTCGTTGCCATTCCCAGGAAAAGGAAGCCCATGGTGAGCATCGTTCTGTGGAGAGTAGCAACGTTTTAATGACTGACAACATTCTTTAATATACAGGCCAAGAGCTGTTATCCTGATTCAGCTTATTTAAAAGCCAGTCCCACAATAGTTGACTGACAGCCAGGTACCTATTTTCTGCGAGGTGAACAATGGTAACAGCATAATTTTCCATGTATGTTAAACTAACTGTAAAATTTGTATATTTTGGTTAAAGTTCTTATAAAAGAATAAGGATAGTGGCTATCCGGAAGCTTGTTCTTAAAAGACTGAAATTTCCTGTACTGTGATCATAACTTGATTTTGTTTCAAAGTGGATTTATTTTAAGCAGTACAGCGATTTGTGAGTTATGTTCTCCAAACATCAACACGCAAACACATACACAAAAAAAAGAGGTACGATAGAGCTCATGAAGCAGGGAGAGAGTGGGCTTAGTAGCAACCAGCGAAGAGGCGGGGCCAGGAGCTGTGAATCAACCTCTGTAACCCCAGATAGGTAAGTACAAATAGGTAAGTACACACGTACCCTGCAGACACCCTGGTGACTCTGAGGCCGGCGTGGTGCAGGAGGTATCCCACTAGGACCCCTGGCACACTGTAGCAACCCACAGCCACTGTGAAGATGAGAGCGAACCTCTCGTCCTGTGGTCCACACTGCTCGACACCAACCTGCAGAAATAAAGATACGGAAATGTTGTGCATGTGTCTCTTTCATTTTCTCTATATTGATAATACCATTGATAATACAAGGGAAGATATACCAGGAGGTCAGACCAGCACTAGGTATCTCACTCTCAACCTTTCATTTCACTTGTGGCTTCTGTTCTGTTTTCAGTGACTCAGAGTTCCATCAGGACCCCAGCTGAAATAAGTAATTTTGTCTGACTTTTCTGGGACTATCCTAGGTAATTTACACCTATGTTATTTGATATGATAACTGTTCTTACGTGTACCTGTATCTATAAACTTAGTTACTTAATTATAAATGCACCATATCGTTGCCTGCAGCGAGATTCCCTCCATAAATGTCTTCTGTCCCCGTGCATGTCCTATCTCCTGGCTTTTTAATCTAACCATAGTTTTCGTGAGTTAAATGTCAATTTGCTTACAGCATTCCTGTTAATATGGAAATGTCATAGGTTTTCCATACCTCTTCTTCCATCGCTCATGCACACAAGGCTCGGTGCTCGCCAAGAAAAATGTTTCTAATGTAGATCAAAATTTTGCCAGACGAAACAGCAAACACAAACGTGTTCCCAAAATGATGCTAAAACTTATGAAAACAAAAACCCGACTGTGTATCCCCTCACAAATCCTGGATAGAATAAGCAGGTCGAGTGATAGGTGGATGATGGACGTTTATGTGGATAAATGACAAGCAGTAACAAGAAAAGAATGTGAAAACACGTCACACGAAGACTACAGATTGTGATTAAATATGAGAGACACCAGACAAACAGAAGAACCTTGAGAATTATCACTGGCTCAACACTGCCACCTGAAAGTCATATCAGTAAAAATAGTGGGAACTCCTATGTGATATTAACTAACTTTGGATACATGGGACCAGTTAGGTGAGTACAATTAGTTAGTCTCTCTCACCATTAATATACGAAAAACTAAGCCTCCTCAACTCCTTATCATAAATGATCCACACGGGTTTAGCCCTCCACGTAAAATATACCATTAACTTAAACATATGGATCAGGAATTGGAGTATGCAGAGGTAGCGTAGTTGCTTACATCTTTAAAAATTAGTGTAGTTAAAAACACGAGTTTCAAAATGTCTCAAAAATAATAAAGTTACAAAAGAAGGCTGAAGGGATTAGATAAGTCCTTTTTGACGACTGATAAGATGGTAAGAAGAAGCACGATAACCATATATGTTAAACATTACGAAATACTTTGATAAGATTTCTTAACATCCTCAACAGAGAGTATACACAAGGTCATAACTATATATGAGGAAGAAGTGACCAGAGGTCAGAAGATTTTTATCCTCGCAAACAGTCGTAGAACAATGGAATCGTTGCAAGAAGTAGTATGTCATGTGCAACCACTGGGGGAAAAATGTGATATAAAGCGGGACACTGAACGCTCAGCTCTGCTCATGGAGCTACAAAGAGATAATTGTAAACATACACCACACACTCTCTTGCACTTTCGTAACCAGTACTTGCAAGAAGAGTGACGTCTCTCACAAGTATGAGAATAACACCATTAATCATAGAAAGTGACCTTTATTGCTCTCTCAGTGTCACATCCCGACACATTCTGCCTTGTAATTTTCAATTTAAACTCTTGTTATTGCAGAATTTGCAGTATTTTGTACATGATAGAAACTGACATGATACGTTGGGGTTTCACCTGACAAGTAAAAATTACTCGACATCTTGACAACTGAGGTTTCACAACCAACCCATAAATTTGAGATGAATCTTAATAAGATTTTTCAGGCCGTCCTGGACTGTCATAAAGTCAGTATTGTCCGGTCACGACTTGATGATGGTCGAGGAAGGACCGAAACGTCTGGGTTAGCTGCGAATGGTTTTCCAGCGACGGTACAGTACTGTGACTTTTAGTCTTCAAGGGAGACTGCATGATCGCTGACACAGGTGACGTGTGTCATCTGATGACAAGCGACGTATGTGTCACGAAAATATCTTAAAGGTAAAAATATGAAGACAAACATATTTTATGAGAATTGTGGATAAGAGATAAAAAGGCATCGTGAGACACTGATTAGCTCCAAGGTCACCGTGGTGGTGCTGATGGTGGTTGTGGTAGCAGTGGTGGCAGTGATAGTGGTAGTGATGGTAGTGGTGGTGGCAGCTGCGTAGTGTTGGGGTGATGGTGGAATGGTGGTGATGGTAGTAGAGGATGGCAGGTTTGGTCGAGTCATCAGAGATGGTTCCCGGACTCTTGTGTAAACAAAGCTCATTGTAAACTCTAGTCATCCATGTTATAAACATAGATGAAGACGAAGGGATGAGATAATGGAAGATAATAAAGAGTGCGTTGTCTCTAAGATATAATATTAACGCAAAGCAACAACACTTGCAAGATTCGTAGTATACATTCTATCTTTAAGTTAGCAATACACTATAATTTCAGCCAACATGACTAACACATCCTAACTCGTTCTTAAATATAATTTAGTGTTCATACAGCAAAGAGACACTACAAGATACATCATAATTCACAAATGAGAGTGAGACGCTGACTTAAACAAATCAAGAGCAGAAATCAGGCCCAAGCTATATTTTATGCTTAGCATCAGAAGAATTGTATTTTAAAATTAGGCCCTAATGTGTACAAAACTTAACCATAGTTAGCGGCATATACCCTTCTTGCAAGCTATACTCTAATGCAGTGGTTCCCAAACTGGGGGTAAATTACCCCCTGGGGGTAATTTAACCATTTTTGGGGGGTAATGGAGGGGTGACAGAAAAAAAGTTATGAATTCTGAAAATCAAGAAAACAATGCGGTACCCGGTATGAGGGATTATTGTTAACTTTGTCTTAGTATATAAAGTTGTAAAGTAAACCTATTATAAGTAAGTAATAAAATTAAACCAAATAACAATAAACATCAAAAACTATTATACAGTATTAGAAAAGAAGAAATATATAGCTAAGTGTGTGGAAACCCAAAAGTATTTTGACAAGTATGCTTCAGGACAAAAGTCACTCAGTAGCCCAGATCGACCTGTCAGTACGCGTCACTCACTTCCTGAGGCTGCCTCTATTTCACACTGTCAGTTTATCTGTGAGCATCAGCCGAGGTAGACATAAGCTGGTATGTATGTGTACTGCCCTGTGCAGTATATAGTTAGTATTTACCCACTGTTACTGTGAATTTGTAGCTATTATTAATTTTATATATAATGTATGTGTGGTTCTTACGTTTTCAATGGTTTTGCTAGGATTAGCAGAGTATGCGAGGCTGTATACGTTCCCTGTAGTTCTCGCGCTACATGGTGCTCTTGTGCTGACAAGCATGTACTTGCAGCCTGACAATTTTGAATGTATGCGTGTGTGCTTGCATCAGTGAACTTGTGTTAGCTGCCATGCGAGAAAATTATGTACCTTGCGTTTTGCAGTGTATGCATGGATATTCTTCTTTTTCTGCAGTTTTGAACAAGAAAATGTCCAAAAACGCACCTACACGGGACGCCTTTCTTCGCCATGGCTTTGTGAATTTAACTTCTGGTGGAGAGGATCGGCCACAATGTGTGGCATGTCACAAAGTGTTGACAAATGAAAGCCTCAAGCCATCAAAACTCTCAGCTCACCTCCAAAAGTGCCATCCAAATCTTCAAAATAAGGATCAGGCTTATTTTCAGCGCCAGGCTGTAGCACTGAAGAATATCCAGTTCGGCTCATCTGGAATTCAAGCCCAAAAGCTTCAAGCTGCGGTCGAAGCATCCTACTGTGTTGCATATAAAATTGCCGAACAACAGAAATGCCACACCATTGCAGAGAATCTGATTATGCCTTGTGCATACTTCTACAGACCATCAACAAAGAAATGAGCGACCATTTGAAGGGGCTTGAAACAAGCATGCATCACTACTTTCCAGAGAGTGACCAAGAAACAGCCACTCTTCAGTGGATCATTCATCCCTTCTCTGTACCTGATGATGCCATTCATGATGATGATTTCCCTGCAAAGGAGGAGTGGATCACAATGCGAGCCAATGAAGCCTTGAAAATCGAATTCCAAAACCAAAATGCAGATTCCTTTTGGATTTCACGACTACCTGACTCGCCAACTCTGTCCAAGAGAGCCTTGAAGTTGTTGGTATCATTCTCAACAACGTATCTGTGCGAGAAGGGCTTCTCAACTGTGCTGGGTATAAAAACAAAAAAAGAGGACTCGCTTGAATGTTGCAAACGATGCCCGGCTGGCACTTTCAACCACGAAGCCAAGAATTCCTAAACTAGCTTCAAGTATGCAACTCCATCCATCCCACTGATGTTCTTGACATCTTTGGTAATAGTCATTAGAGATGCACAATGTTCAAATACAATACATAAAAGAAAATATCTCAAGTGTTTTAATTTAGCCATATATATCAATAATAACAACATTTTGTGAAAGGGGTAACATGCTTTATGTGGCATGTTAAATTGGGTAACAAGCTGAAAAAGTTTGGGAACCACTGCTCTAATGGTTTACTTTGACTAAATCTTCAAAATAAAGCACAAGACAGCCTTCCTTCAGTTTGATCTGTACTCACGATGTGACTTCTGGAGATTTCGAAGGTGTTGTTGAGGCCATGGCAGCGGGTGTTGTTGAAGGCTTGGTGGGGAGGTGTGGGCGTGTTGAGGCTGGTGTGGGCGTGGGGAAGGAGGGAAGAGGGAGTTGAGAACCCGTGACAGAGGTCACTGTATAAACCTTCCACCTTCAGAACGTGTACCAGCTGCGGCCAGCCGAAGACCGTGCCGGCGAAGAGCATTGACTCAACCACACCAATGACGAAGATGGTGACCCGTCTGGCCAGGGAGAGCTCCAGTTGAGGGTCCTGTTGACACTTCATGTTGGAGTGATGGTAGTGGTGGTGGTAGTAATGGTGCTGGTGCTTTTAGCGATAATGGTAGCAGTGTAAGTAATGAGCGGTTCAGACCAATACACAATCTTCCTGATAAACACACCAACGCAAAGCCACTACTAAAGACAGTTTAATGGCAGTGACGGCAGGTGTGACACTTGTGGTGGCAGTGTTGGTGACAACTGTGGCAGAAGTTTTCTCACGGCTCAGTCTCTATTGTGATAGATAATAAAAATGATTAGCCACATTATAATAACAACACAGATAAGACTATAATAGGCAAGACAAAGTAATGTGTTCACTCCTTCTAAGAACTCAATATTAATCATATAACCTTGTCCAGCTTAATGACTGTTCTCCCGCTTAGTCAAACATTCCACCTGCTTAAGAACATAAAAGAAGCAGTGCAGCAAGCCTAGCGGCCCATGCTAGGCAAGTCCAAGTACTTGCTTCGCCTCAGCATTGATTAGTTGCGCCACATGTCGCTAACATGACTCACATCACCAACAGTTAGGAAAGAGATGATAATGACACCGTACAAATAATCTTCATTATAATTTTGTTTTCATTACAAGTATGAATCATTATTATATGCATATGGGAGCGCTAAGCCTGTAGGGGTCATACAACTTCTAGAGAAATAGAAAGCAATCAGGTTCGATCCAAGGTAAGGCCACCCATCCTCCCTTGGATCTAGAACCCTCCCTTGAGGGCAGTGTAAGAAGAAAATCAGATTTATCTGTATTGTGAGGCAATGTGGAAATATTATCGTGTTTTGCCCTATATATCACCAGCTACCGAAATTAAAAATGGAAATGTGCACTGAAATCTATAATATTAGACACTTTTATTCTAAACTATTGCATCTTAACCAAAAATATCTTAATTTTAATGAAAAATAATAATTTAAAAAAATACTAAAAGAAAGTAAAAATATTACTCCATTTTGCATTTTCCAACATTAAACCGATTAATTTTACACATTAAAATGTAATTTTACATAAATAACAGAGGTAAATTGTTTACAGTGGTAGACTTGTTTACAATTCACAGTGGTAGACTCTTTACAAGTTTCACTGGAAGACTTGTTTAAAAGTAACAGTGGTTGTCTCGTTTACAAGGTGCATTAGTAGACTCGTTTACAAGGTGCATTAGTAGACTTGTTTACAAGGTGCATTAGTAGACTCGTTTACAAGGTGCATTAGTAGACTTGTTTACAAGGTGCATTAGTAGACTTGTTTACAAGGTGCATTAGTAGACTTGTTTACAAGGTGCATTTAGTAGACTTGTTTACAAGGTGCATTAGTAGACTCGTTTACAAGGTGCATTAGTAGACTTGTTTACAAGGTGCATTAGTAGACTTGTTTACAAGGTGCATTAGTAGACTTGTTTACAAGGTGCATTAGTAGACTTGTTTACAAGGTGCATTAGTAGACTTGTTTACAAGGTGCATTAGTAGACTTGTTTACAAGGTGCATTAGTAGACTCGTTTACAAGGTGCATTAGTAGACTTGTTTACAAGGTGCATTAGTAGACTTGTTTACAAGGTGCATTAGCAGACTTGTTTACAAGAGCAATTGAAACGTCTAATCACTATTTAGTGGTTTCTAGAGTAAGAAAAATTAATAATTACCCATAATTAGGTTTATGATGAGCAGTCATTATCAATAATGATCGTGTCCAATTATGATGCTTCAGGGGTGAAAACAATCTCAGAAAACTACTGCCCGAATTTATTTTAGCTTGAAGCTGCAGCTAAGGTTGGGGCACACAGCTTGGAGTGTTGCAGCCAAGACTGGAACACACTACCTGGAGTGTTGCAGCCAAGACTGGAACACACAAACCTGGAGTGTTGCAGCCAAGACTGGAGCACACTACCTGGAGTGTTGCAGCCGAGACTGGAGCACACTACCTGGAGTGTTGCAGCGAGACTGGAGCACACTACCTGGAGTGTTGCAGCCGAGACTGGAGCACACTACCTGGAGTGTTGCAGCCGAGACTGGAGCACACTACCTGGAGTGTTGCAGCCGAGACTGGAGCACACTACCTGGAGTGTTGCAGCCGAGACTGAGCACACCACTTGTTGCATGATTGGCACCTAGATGACTGGCATATGGTTGGCATCTCGGAGCAACTATGGTTGGCGCCTCTGAGTGGCGTGTGACTAGCACGCCTTTGAGTGATGTATGAGTGGCATCTGAGTGGTGTATGAGTGGCACTTCTCTGAGTGGTGTACGAGTGGCATCTCTCTGAGTGGTGTATAAGTGGCATCTCTCTGAGTGGTGTATAAGTGGCATCTCTCTGAGTGGTGTATATGTGGCATCTCTCTGAGTGGTGCATAAGTGGCATCTCTCTGAGTGGTGTATGAGTGGCATCTCTCTGAGTGGTGTATGAGTGGCACCTCTCTGAGTGGTGTATGAGTGGCACCTGTCGGAATGGTGTATGAGTGGTATTTTCATAAGCAGTGTAGCTTGGGAATGCATGGTGTTACTGATCAACACATGCAGTTTCCTCACATCAGAGAGCCAAGATGCCACCTGTGGCAGAGTCAAGCCCCAGAGCTGTACTCAGTGCCAAGTATGCCAACAATGTGGGGGACCTCAGCACATTTTGCTAATTACTAGGTTGGTTTGTTGGGTTTAAAGTGAATCTGCTACACGAGGATCATTTAGTCTACACGTTACCTGTGTAACACTAGTTATTAAAGACTGAAGTAAACTATATGTATATATACATATATACACAACAATACAATCACTGACAGGCGATTTTAACAATGCTAGACAAGCCACAGGGGGTGGCAATCTTAGCTCAAAGATATGCATCCCCGTGGCTTGTCTTGCACACATGCATATATAATGATATAAATACATTCCTCGGGGTATATTACATTTACAGTCTTGTGTTTAACATCTGAATAAATGCTAGCCAAACTGAACACTTTTTTTTTTACGAACATTAACGTAAATACAATGCAGAAATTAATTTGGTCGTTTTCCGCTGTTATGAGACCAGGAAAATGAGATAGTTATTTTATTTCTTGTGATTGTAACACAAATGACAAAATTATTTCGTGTTTTTTAAAAACATACTTGACTTATATTGGTTATTATAGTGAATGAACATACTTGTGCCTCTTCGTAAGAAAATGTATCGTGTTCTGTCATTCTGATTTATTATCTTGTGTTTGTCTACTTGGAGGTGTGTTCCGGGGGTCAACGCCCCCCACGGTCCAGTCCTTGACCAGGCCTCCTGGTGGATCAGGGCCTGATCAATCAGGCTTTTACTATTGCCAGCACGTAGTGCAACGTAGGAACTACAGCCCGGTTGATCGGGTACTGACTTTAGGTATCTGTCCAGCTCCCTCTTGAAGGCAGCCAGAGGTATATAGGCAATTCCCCTGATGCCTGGTGGGTGTCTATGAAGCTTTCCTGATGCTTACCTGCTACTTGGAGGGTATTCCGGGGATCAACGCCCCCGCGGCCCGGTCCATGACCAGGCCTCCCGGTCGATGAGGGCCTGATCAACGAGGCTGTACTATACTGGACAATTATTAACAACAAATTTCATTTAATACTGATCACTTAGATTTGACAGTTTCACACCACAAACACAGTTGGCTTTTCTCAACACAGTTATCACACCTGGATCTACCTGGGTTAACAGAAGATGAAATGTATTTATAGTGTTAGAGTGTTTATGTATCCATGTGTATCGGCTTTTCAACCAATTTCCATCGATGGTGTTACTTACATGGCTACACATCGAACCACAGCCGGTTATCGCTATTGAAAAACTTTTAATTTTTATATCCCTTGAATCAACATTGTGTTTGGGCCCGATCTGTGTATTGTTACATATCAACATGTACAGAGTTCCATTTGGCATGTCACTTGCGTCAAGACACAGGTCAGTTATCATCACGCTCCAGGCACTACCTTGAAGCGCTCTAACAGCAAATAAAACTGGTCATTGCTATCATATCAATTGTTGTAGGGAGAGGAGGTATCGCCTTCAGTCGTCAGGAAACTGATTAGTCTTTTTGTGAAATGCTGTAGCATTTGCTTATCACCAACATATCTTACTTAATCAGGTGACGCAATACGCATTTGTAATACTTTGATGCTAGGTGCTCTGGTGTTCCTTTGATGCTAGGTGCTCTGGTGTTCCTTTGATGCTAGGTGTTCTGGTGTTCCTTTGATGCTAGGTGTTCCTTTGGTGCTACAACCTTCAAGAAACGGAGTGAGTCATTCAGTCACAGTAATTCCCAATAAGTTTTCTGTGAAATTCCTGTTCTGATCAAATCCTAAATATCGTACGGAGTAATTCCGAGCATTTACTATCGATCGTGTTTATTTCCCGATGATCGTTCGGAGTGACTCCTGCTGGTCGTACTGATATTACGATCTTTGTTTATACTCATCTTTCTTTGCACTGATGATCATCAGGATCTTACAGCGCCTGGGAAAGAGAAGGCAATCAGGTTTGGTCAGAGGAAGGGGTAGATAGCTCCCACTCCTTGGATGAAGAGCCCTTCAGCAGCATCATACGACTCCTCCTCCTCACCTTGTACGGTGAGACACCCTACAAGGTGATAGCTGGTCTCACTCACCTTTGATAGCTGCAGCACTAGTCACTCTGGGACAAAAACCATAACAACGGTATTATTTAGCTTCCTCGTGTCTCCTTAGCTTCCCTCATCTGGCATCAGCTTCTCTCACCTTCCCTCAGCATCCCTGCCAAGAGCATCAATATACACTTCAACATGGATCTCTGAGCTGTATAATTTACCTTATTTATTGTGTTTGTAAATCCAGAAGGAACAAATCAAGTGCACATCGTAACTCATTCACTCACAACAAGCTCATTTTCCAGTAAATACTCAGTTTCTGATAACGCGTACATGAGAACAAAGTCAATGTACACAACGAGTGTGTGAGGTGGCACACTGAGCGAGGAACAACAACCTACCCAGACGAGGGTCACTAAGCTACTGCCACAGGAAATGTGTTCTGTAAGGCCAGCTGACTGCAAGCGCATGCGCACTCTGTATTGTATGCGCAACGTCAGTCAACACGATAGGCGTCTAGTCGGTATATAGTTGGGTGACCAGCTGTAGCAAGACTCGTTGTCGGCTGCAAGGAGGAACCTCGCTGAAGTCAAGGGTTCCCTTGTCCGTGACAGCTAGAGTGAGAACGACTGTGTTTTCACCGGGTCACACTACTTAACGTAGTAGACAGGTCATGGCACTCTGTAACTCCCATCTGGGATGTCGGATGATCTAGACTTTATCGTCTCGCTCACCTTGGAGACAAAATGTTTCGGTGGGTAATATCTGCTGCGTTAAAACTAAAACCAATGGGATGCACCGTAACTTTTCACCCACACCGACATAGACAAGGATGTCAGCCACAGCACCGTGTCTTCCTTTGCAGATGACACCCGAATCTGCATGACAGTGTCTTCCATTGCAGACACTGCAAAGCTCCAGGCAGACATCAACCAAATCTTTCAGTGGGCTGCAGAAAACAATATGAAGTTCAACGATGAGAAATTTCAATTACTCAGATATGGTAAACATGAGGAAATTAAATCTTCATCAGAGTACAAAACAAATTCGGGCCCACAAAATAGAGCGAAACACCAACGTCAAAGACCTGGGAGTGATCATGTCGGAGGATCTCACCTTCAAGGACCATAACATTGTATCAATCGCATCTGCTAGAAAAATGACAGGATGGATAATGAGAACCTTCAAAACTAGGGAGGCCAAGCCCATGATGACACTCTTCAGGTCACTTGTTCTATCTAGGCTGGAATATTGCTGCACACTAACAGCACCTTTCAAGGGAGGTGAAATTGCCGACCTAGAAAATGTACAGAGAACTTTCACGGCGCGCATAACGGAGATAAAACACCTCAATTATTGGAGCGCTTGAGGTTCCTAAACCTGTATTCCCTGGAACGCAGGAGGGAGAGATACATGATTATATACACCTGGAAAATCCTAGAGGGACTAGTACCGAACTTGCACACGAAAATCACTCACTACGAAAGCAAAAGACTTGGCAGACGATGCACCATCCCCCCAATGAAAAGCAGGGGTGTCACTAGCACGTTAAGAGACCATACAATAAGTGTCAGGGGCCCGAGACTGTTCAACTGCCTCCCAGCACACATAAGGGGGATTACCAACAGACCCCTGGCAGTCTTCAAGCTGGCACTGGACAAGCACCTAAAGTCAGTTCCGGATCAGCCGGGCTGTGGCTCGTATGTTGGTTTGCGTGCAGCCAGCAGCAACAGCCTGGTTGATCAGGCTCTGATCCACCAGGAGGCCTGGTCTCAGACCGGGCCGCGGGGGCGTTGACCCCCGGAACTCTCTCCAGGTAAACTCCAGGTAAACTCCACTGGGCGAAACTATGTATCCTTTTCCTCTTTATTAATCCCTCGTCACGGCATTCAAATCCTCTTTAAACAGGATACCCCTGTGGAGACAAAGAACTTTGTCCTTGGAGGCAAAGACGGGAATGTATGAGAGTATAGTTTTACCAACGCTCTTATATGGGTGTGAAGCATGGGTGATGAATGCTGCAGCGAGGAGAAGGCTGTAGGCAGTGGAGATGTCATGTCTGAGGGCAATGTGTGGTGTGAATATAATGCAGAGAATTCGTAGTTTGGAAGTTAGGAGGAGGTGCGGGATTACCAAAACTGTTGTCCAGAGGGCTGAGGAAGGGTTGTTGAGGTGGTTCGGACATGTAGAGAGAATGGAGCGAAACAGAGTGACTTCAAGAGTGTATCAGTCTGTAGTGGAAGGAAGGCGGGGTAGGGGTCGGCCTAGGAAAGGTTGGAGGGAGGGGGGTAAAGGAGGTTTTGTGTGCGAGGAGCTTGGACTTCCAGCAGGCATGCGTGAGCGTGTTTGATAGGAGTGAATGGAGACAAATGGTTTTTAATACTTGACGTGCTGTTGGAGTGTGAGCAAAGTAACATTTATGAAGGGGCTCAGGGAAACCGGCAGGCCGGACTTGAGTCCTGGAGATGGGAAGTACAGTGCCTGCACTCTGAAGGAGGGGTGTTAATGTTGCAGTTTAAAAACTGTAGTGTAAAGCACCCTTCTGGCAAGACAGTGATGGAGTGAATGATGGTGAAAGTTTTTCTTTTTCGGGCCACCCTGCCTTGGTGGGAATCGGCCAGTGTGATAATAAAAAAAAAATACCCCTGTTGAACACTATTTAACATTTGAATCAGCAAATATTGCTCATCCGATGAGTCTTCACACTACATAACAAATGGTTTCGAATTTTACTTTGCACAAGTCTGAACACCGGAGGAAGATGAGTTATGAAAGTGGATTGAGGTGAGGCTCTGGGGAAGAAATGGAATGGTCAAGTTTCACCTGCGCAAGCAACTGGTGTTTCCTTCATGCCAGAGATGCAGTCTCTGTCTGACAATTTTGACCACCCACAGTAATTTTGCTGCGCTAGTCACTCAAAGCTGCTGCTGCTGTAGTGTCTGATCAGTGAATGTCAGGCGGCGCATGCATCACCACAAATTAAGCGCAGTTGAACTAGTTCATAAGACAGTGCTGGTTGATACCTTTTGGATCTACGGCGGACCAAGTCAGCAACGACTGCTGGCCTATCGCTGCTGGCTTTCACCAATGAACAAATCAAACAGATATCCGTAGTAGCCTATACGCGTCTCTACAAGCATAATCAGGGACGAAGCTACGAGAACAATAGGTTTGAACAGGGCAATTAGTCTACTAGAACAAATGCATGAACAAATTTACCAGAGCAAACAAGAAACATCTGAAGGAATGAGTGTGCGTGCAGCGTAGGCTTTGTCCATACAGAATTCTGTTTACAAGCAGAATTAATGTAAATGAACAAGTATGCAAACAAAAACAAGTCGATTAGCTTCACAATATACGAGCATCTCAAGCATATTTTCAACATAAGAGGTCAAGAAACACACGTATTATTTTCGTAAACTTCTTTAAGTTTTGTTGAGTGAGCAATTGGAAGAATGCATGTTGGTTGCCATTGTGCAATAAGACACAGTTCAAGCTTCTAATGGAGCTGTCTACAAACAGCCACGAATTTCTTGGTCGATATTCAAAACCCATTCGATGAAGAAGTCCAGTGATGTTACTGCAGTAAACAAGTTCTTCATCTTGACTGAAGTAAGGAAGGAGTTCAACCTCTCTTGTCTGAAAAGCTGTTATTTTAACTTCATGTTGTTGACAGTTCTTTTCTTTTAGTCTGGATGCTAAAAGTTCAGATGCTTGTTGTGACGGATTAAGGTCACGAATCGGATCATTGAGTTCTTGGGAGAACTGCTGGGGTGTTGAAATACTTCCTTCATATTTACTTCGGCTGCTATCACCTGTGTTACATCCTAAACCCTGAGTTTCTTCAACATCTGACAACAAAAGGTCAGGCAGTGTTGTAAACACTGGAATAGGAGTGTCTTCACTGTGTGGCACAGGTCACCTTGCTGACTCCTAATCAGGATATTCCCATTTGACTTTCTTGTATCGATTGAAGTCTTTCACATTCACCTTACATAAATAAACAGAAATAACAATAAACGTGGTGTTTTTTTGGCTCTCTCCACACCATAGGCACACCGAAGTTTAAACTTTTCCTTTGTCTGTTGTTCCACTGCCTATTCTTCCACAGGTTTTGTAAACCATACAGGGAGCCCAAGACTTGTCTTGTTCTCCAAGCGCTACTCCAAAACAAACAAGATAAGCTTATTTTACAAAATCTGTGATGTTTTTCCTTAGTTTTTGCAAAGAGTATTCGCTACATGTGTAGCAAAATGCATTGAGATTGTTTAAGCAGACTCTTCGTGAAGAATTCAAAGTTTCTCTGAAAATATTTTGTCAGGTGATCATTGTTGATACAAATCCTTCGTTAAATATTAAATCACTGAAAAATAACATTCTAATCTTTATTAAAACTATCTGTATATACAGATACTATATGTATATACTATCTGTATATACATATACATACACACGTGTTATGGTTAAGTTTCCTGTTAATTGAGGGTAAGTATGTAATATTTCACAAATTAGCGCCAATTTGTAAAAACTTCTGACATTTTAGGATTCACCAACTCTAAAATACTCTAATTACATTCAAATATCTTTGGCAACAATTTTTTTTTGTTGACTAGTTTATAATAATAATAAAAATAATAATAATAATTAATAATATAATAATAATAATTATTATTATTATTATTTTTATTATTATTATTATTATTATTATTATTATTATTATTGTTATTATTATTATTATTATTATTATTATTATTATTATTATTATTATTATTATTATTATTATTTATTATTATTATTGTTGTTATTATTATTGTTATTATTATTATTATTATTATTATTATTATTATTATTATTATTTATTATTTATATTATTAATATTTATAATTATATTTATTGTTGTTATTATTATTGTTATTATTATTATATATTTTATTATTATTATTAATTATTATTATTATATTGTTATTATATTAATATTATTATTATTATTATTTATATTATTATTATTATTATTATTATTATTAGTATTATAAAAATATTAATATTTTAAGACTATTATCTTAATATCCCCATGTGTGTATAGTCTTGGGACCAACACTAATTCTTAAATATATCTTACTCTACAGATTTATACTGGACTTTGTTTATATTAATCCTTGTTTATATTGATCTTTGCTTATATTAATCCTTGTTTATATTGACCTTTGATCATACTGATCTTTGTTTGCAGTAATCTTTATTTTTCTTTGACTTTCCTCCAGAACTCAGGTGTTTACTGGAGCAAGACAAGACAGTCATCTTGCGTGATGGTTGTGTCTAATCTCGTCAAATGTTATGTAGATCAGGATGCTGTAATTTGCATAATGAAGTACTGCATTATAAGTTTATTTACACATTCAGGAAACTGTAGGTTATATAAAACTTAAGTGCCAGCAGTAACGGC